AGGCCGCAACGGATTAGTATCGCATCAATCTCCTCACCGTAAAGTGAAATGGTTTAGCGTGACCTCAAATGCTTTAGCGTGAGGACAAATGGTTTCGTACAAACCGAAATGGTTTAGCATTACAACAGTTGGCTTACGCCGTAACCGCCAAAAATACAAAAGGGAAATAGGTAAGTCAAGCTTGAAATGAAACAGTCTATGTGGGGTCTGACGTCACAACGTACGTCATTCAGATCCAATTTGGCGCCAAATTCGCCAGAATGAGGTATTCGCCACGCCGTCCACCACGTTCACGTTCCACGTTCACGTTATTTCTGTAGCCTCGTCGTCCTTGTCCACTAGACTCAAAGAGCCTCACTCCGGTAATAACCTTTTTCACATTTGCCTATTTTAGCTTGTTAGCGAATAAATTTATACCCTCATCATCTTGCCGCAATATCAGTAAGCAAATGATATTTCGGAACAAAAGGAATAACAAAAATACAGATAAAATGCATCATTTTACGCGATAGCACATTTACCGTCTAGACAGTAAGAACCATAGGTGGGGAACGTTATAAAGCGATTCATCGTTTTAAGACGACGAAACTACAACTAAAGGGCGCCTAAAAACTATGTAGATTTTATAGTTTTGAGGCGCCCTTGAGATTCTTATCCTATTCAATTTCAAGCTTGACTTTTCCATTTCACTTATGTATTTTTGGCGGTTACGGCGTAAACCAACTGAACCAACCGCTGTAACACGAAACCATTTCGGTTTGTAGGAAACCATTTGTCGTCACGCTAAACCATTTGGGGTCACGCTAAACCATTTCACTTTACGGTGAGTAGATTGATGCGATACTAAACCATTGCGGCTACGATTAACCATTTTCCGATAACCTAGGCCATTTCACACCACTCTGAACCGTTTTTGTCAAGTTACTGAACCAAAGGACAGTTAGCTGAACCGTTTGTCATTTCGACACTGAACCATTTCAGTCAACACTTGGCCAGTCATGTTTTTATTGAATCAGTTCAACAAGGGTGGCTACACAGCTCCTCAATTGTATAAACCATTTTTTGTCTGAATATTTCATTTCACCAAATGCGACTTGTCCATTTGTATTTTAAATAAATCTCTCAGGATAAGATAAATCGTTCTCCAAAAGATAATTAGACTCTATCTGTTATTACAAACCAATTCTATTTTTGTATTTTTGGCGATGACAGCCGCCCATATGTGGGCTCTTCTTTCAAATTCAGTCGGAGAATTTCCGGCTTCAAGCTTGCACAGATTTATGGGCCAAGGAACTCCCTGTTTCATTTTCACAACACGCCGTTGCAATTCTCCGTTCCATGACATAGCTTTCGAGTCTTTCTTAGTACTTTCTCTGTCTTAGTGACTTTGAAACGTTTTCATGACGGACTGAGGAAGCAAGGTCGTAAAAAAAAGGCAAAGGTGCCTTCCATTTCCGCGACAGAGGTAAGAACGCATGGTTGTATCAGATTATTGAATGTAAGGTAAATACTTTTATTTTAAATTTTTTTTAGTTGAGATTTCCTCCTTCAAATGTTCCTCATCTTTCCGAACTTTCTCTGATTTCCGACAATGAAAGACGTTCCTGCAGTGAAGTGACGACGATTGCCAACTTTTACTTTATTCTGGCGTGTATTAATTGTATTGCCGCTTCGTGTTAGTTACAAGCTTATTAAGCTGAGCTTGCTTGAACAAGTTACAGCTGTCGAATTCACAAAAATTCGCAAGCAATGCTTGGCATTTACCTTGGACAAAATAAGTAATTCGGGAGAGTTACAAAGGATATCCAAATTATCGATTTGATTCAGTAAAAGCCCTTTTGATCGCAACACTTTCAGTTTCGTTTGCGTGTCATGCGGAGCATGTACACAATCGTGTTTGGCACTAGCTTTCATGTCGGGCTTATATATGTACGTATTAACTTAATTTGCTCCCGTATTTACGATGCATTTGATCAAAAAGCGATAAACATTTTCAGCGTATTTCATGTGTTTATGTTTATCATTTTATACTGTAGTTTGAAAGTGATTTTTTCTTTTCAATAGACAGCTTAGATTGTCCTTCCAAACTGTACTGTTATACTGATTTCCTTGTTAAATATTGAGACAAGTTGATTTTTCTTCAAATTCAGCTAGTTATTTACTGCAAGAGTGCTTTCAATTAACTGCATTCGAGTTTGAGGAATCCAATTCATCAACTGGTAATGATTGATTAGTGTCTGAGTCAAGTTTTACCTTTTGTCATCTGCTAATCAACATACGATCAATCAATAATCAAATCAACTGAATGTTTCCGATCAATTGTTTTTGTTTTTTTTTTTATCAAAACTGGTTTAGTTCTGCATGCATCCAAGTATGTGTTTGTTGATAATTTATGTTGTTATATGGGAAGGTAGTCTTGGGATAAATGTAAAGTTCTGATTGGTTCTTACTTGGTCAGGATTTTGCCACATAGACCATCATTGCACCATACAGAAAATTATAAAACATGTAAATTCATTGTAAACTAGTTTAGTCCAAGTGACATTGGTGCATGACAATTACCTTGCTCTCGTGAGGGGTACTGGGAAATATTGGCACCATGTAATTCCTTTTCTGTTACAACCTTGGGCCAATATACCTCTGTAAAGCCCTGGCAATCAGCTGGTTATATAGAAGTTTGTGGTGGTTTTTGTAAAAGCGATATACACTTACAGGCTATTTTGAATTCCAGTTCAATTGACTTCCTTGTTACTCCACATTTATTGAATTTTTTTGTACATGAAGACAGCCAGCAAAGATTATTTGATATTTAAAAAACAACCAGTCATGATTATTTGGAGAATTAAAGTTAGCATCAAAGACAAATCAATTTTGTGCACAGACAATGTAAATATGGAATAACTGCAAAAACAATTAGTTAAATATACATATACTATTAAAGCAAAAAATGTCAGCACCTGTACCAAATTTAAATCCATTTCAACATACATCAGCCTGCATAAATGTAAATATTTCACTGTTTTTCCTATGATAAAGTGAAACAGTTGAACTAACAATCACCTATACAAATATGGGCATCAGCTCAACAGTAGGAAATTGAATAAATGAAAAACATCTTTTATAAGTTTTGACCAGCAATCCCTATTTAAAAATCAAATAAGAAAATTTTACTTTGGTGTTGTAAAATTTGTTTCTTACAAGAAACAATTCAGCATAAACTCTCTCCTCTTGCGGAGACATAGTGGTCTTATGATTAGTGAGGTGGACGCACCTTCAAGAGGTCTGCATTTGTAGCCTGGCCTGTGCTGGACTCAGGGTCAAGAAGTCTGGGTTCCAGTCAATATGTTGTGTTCTTGTGCAAAACACTTTACTCGTACAGTGTCTGTCTCCACCCAGGAGTATAAATGGGTAGCAAAAATTAGTTAGGGAAACCTGATAAAATGCAAGGGGGGTGAAAGGGGGGGGGGGAGGAGGGATGACAGTGGAATGGACTTGCATCCTGTCCAGGGTTAGGTAGTAATACTCCCAGCTGCTTCATGTAAGGAAACCAGGATTAAGTAAAGCTCAGGCCCTGGACAGGCCACTTTTCAAATCCAGATGTGACCTAACTACCTACCCCCTCTTAGTTTAAATGATTTAAATTGCTACTGTTACAAATTATATAAACTTGAAACACACAGATGTTGATTTTTGCCCAATTTATTTCAGTCAATTGCATAGGAATGTCTTTGGTAAATCTTTGAAATTTATTGTAATGATAAGTGAATTACTGTTTATTTAAATATTAATGCTTGTTTTCTTCAATATATATATCTTTTGTTCTTTTACTGCTTTAAATATGCTATTAATATTAATTGCTTGTGATTTTGTGTCTATATATCCCTCCCATTCTCAGGAGGGGAAAAATATTTAGTTTACAATTGGGTAATATGTTGAGCTAATTTTTTTTACCATTTGCAACCATCTTTTTTTTCAGGCCAGGATGACTTAAAACAGCAACTTTTTGAAAGAAGCATCCCCTTACAGTTGCTATGGCTAAAGAAAGAAGTCCAATTAAGGTTCCATCTGAAAATGAAGACTTACCTGACAAAGAAAATGCTTCAGTTTTTGATGAGGACACTTTACGAGGTGAGCTAGGTTCAACTTTGGCTTCACTGTTAAAACATTTTCTATTCCACCAGTTTCAAGAATGTAAGCAGATGTGGAGAACAATATTAATACACTGCATGACCACCTTAAAGGATATTTGGCCAGTCATGACTCTCTTCTATGATTACAATATGCTATTCATTGACTGAGAGGATCCATGACATATTTGTTATTTTCTTTTCTCAAATTTCAAAGCAAGTACACTAAGTTATAATAAGTAAAGACTTTATTTAATCATCATATAACATTCATTTTGTAAGTTTGCATCATAAGTACCATCATCATCATCATCATCATCATCTTTCCATTATATTATGCAACATTAAATTGAAAGTTTCAACTTCCCCTAAGCAACCAATTTCCAGTAGAGTGCAAGTGTTATATCATTGAATATGGAGGTGTTTAACCCTTGACACCCTAACATCAGTATCCATATTCTCCATACTATTCTTTGTATGTTTCTTGTGGTACTGAAAAAGAGAATTCATTTGAAGATCAATGCTTCTTAGGTTGGTGATCATTTCCTTTATTCTCATGAGCTTAGTGAATGATTCAGCAGTATTACTCCAAGCTTTTCAGGGGATGGGTCAAGTCAGGCAGGTGCAAAAGTGGCAGCTGGCACTAAAGAAAAAATCTGCAGATTTTAAATCTCCAGATCTTGGCAGCTCTGCTTTATGCACTAATTAACTACAACCACAGGTAATTATTAACTACAACCACAGACTTTGACACAAATTATTTTTTATTTTTTCTTTGCAGCCACAGCTGATGTTTATAGAAATGAGGGTAATGAGGCCTTCAAGAAAGGAGATTTCATCAATGCTATTCATTTTTACACCAAAGGAATTAAAATGAACTGCAATGAGAAAGAACTGAAGGCCAAACTGCACAACAACAGGGCTATTGCACATTTTAAACTTGGTAAGATGATGAGAGCTTTAATATGCATTTTTTTTTTCTATTTTGAAGCTATTGAGTTGTCAGTAGTAGTTGTCTGAAAAGGTGATAATTTTGAATGCATGCCCGGAAAAATTTACATCTTATCTTGGCCTCTCAAATATACAAAGAAGTAACCTCTTACCCCAGATATCAATGAGCATCACAAGTTTTTCCCAAAATTATAGTAATGGTAGTTGGTTTGCAACATGTATGGCTAATCAGAGATATTTATTTCAATAACAGGAAATCACCAGAATTCACTAAGGGATGCAGAAGCAGCCATTGAGTTAAATCCAACTTTCCTTAAGGCAATTGTGAGAGGTTAGATATGTTAGCTGTGCTATAATAATAATAATAAAAAAAACTCAACACTCTAAGGTTAAATGAGGTTAAATGGAGTTCAATCTTGTCTCAATTGACTTTAATTAAGAGGTCGAGACCACCCTGATGTACATTTGAATCCAGCTCTTGACTGCTACGCCATTACTTTCCATTAATCATGATAAGAATATTATTTTGAACGGGATGAAGAACTCAATGCGGAATGCAAAGCAAATTTCAGCATGAATATTTTAGTTAATAAGTCCAATGAGTCACAGGTGTAAGATATGTTAAGAGCGTGTCCACGAGAGCACCAGGCAGTCGTGCTACAAGCCATCTCACCGATTTCCATGAAACTTTGGCAGTTTAAAGGGTCTACCCCAAAACTCAAAGAGAAAAACTGGTTTCTGTTTTGGTTCTTCCGGGGGGGAGATAGACCACCCCCGGTTTTTCTTGGTTTTCACCATGGAAATCGCTTCAAATAGGTAAAATGTATGAAGCTCTCACGGCGATGGTGTCTAACCGATTACTTTGAGGATTTGCACACATATTTTTACATCCTTAGTTAATGTCTGCTGCGAGTATCAGTCAGTTTGATTGACGGCTTGTCAATCAACAGAGGCAAATATACGGTTTTGGTTTTAGACTTTTCGATTCATCCAAATATTTGACAACTTTGAGGTCCCGTTGCCAGAAAGCTACAACACTAATTCTAATTCCCCTTTATAACCCATCATTTCATCTCTGAAAATCATCAAAAAAATCTTTGGGCACTACCATATTTTTGTCTTGGATGCCTTTTAAAATCTGCGACTGTGACAAGTTTCTCTCAACTACACCTGTCACGCAATTCTTGCTCTAGGCGGTCACTTGACAAAATAAACCTACATTTTTTAGCTCTTTATACAAGATGATTGATCAAGAAAGGTGAAAAATGTGAAAAACTTTCGATATTTTTCGTAGTAATGGAAAATTTCACGTTTAGAGAGATGCATGTAAACGAAAAATAAATGGGAAAATCGAAGCGTTTCTTTCTTCAGTCGTTTATTACTTTGAAGATTTGCTAAAATCAGCAGATATGGCTTTTGTACGGCTCAAAACATTCATTAGTCTATAATATGATTGTTAATCATCATCATTGCTCATTTTATTTCATGCTGCGTGTTGGTTGATATTGCTAATTGTTCCAGTATGCTACAACTTCGGCTTTTACAGACGAGAAATTCTGCACTCTCGCTCGAGAGCAAATATCAATAGTTCTATCGGACTAAAAACTGTGCCTCTATCCCGAAAATAAAATTAAAATAGTGTTGTCGTCGTCACTTACCACCATCGAACATTTCCATGCAGAACTCCGCTAAGCTAACATCTGTTGTGTGACCCGAAGACTCTTAGTAGGAATTATTCAAGCGCGTTGTTCATGCTGTCTGCTAGATAACAATTTCAGAACAATCTGCAGATCTCTATGATTATTTGCCTGCTTCGACCGTAAAATATCTGCATATTTATCAATAAACCAATTTTTGTTACGGCAGATAACCGGCTTAAGTATCGAGCGATTTGCTGCTGTATCGGTCTGTCTTAGACAACATTTCTGGCTGGTGTCGTCTCTTAAACTCGATATTTGGGAAATCACATTAGAGGCGGTTGCCTTACTAGTTTCCTTCCTTGTCCAGCACACGTCTAGGAGATAATTGTCTGCTTTCTGAGAAAAGGTGGCTGTTTTTTGTGTTTTCCAAAGAGCCCATCCAAAGTCTTCTTGGCTAGTTAGGGATTGTTCGTCAGACTTTTTACCTGAGGTCCGACCTCGAACGTAGCCGTCCCCTATAGAATGGCAAGCCGGTCTTAATCCATTTTGCTCTTGATCTTATCCTAGGCGGAATTTTTTTGTCGGCTTCACTGTGTTTGTCTTTGTCAGGGTACATTTGGATGGCAGCCAATGACTGAAAGGTCCTGATACATCCTTCTTTTAGCAAGAATATCTCGCTTTCTTGTTCCGTCTATGACGGATTGGGTATAGTTCTCGCGATGACCCGCGTTCAGAAATCTGTGTACGTTGCTGATAACCATCCGCTTCTACGACTAGTTTGCTGAAGGTTTCTAATGTGATGAGCCTAGTGAGACCCTGAGGTGCTTCAAACTGTGCCAGTTGGTCTGCGCTATAAACTTGTCGCAGTTCTTAAGTCAGAGGGAGGATCGCCCACCTTTATCTATGTGAGCGCCTCCATAGTACCTGCGTATCCCTAGCAATCATATGATATGAAGTTCATCTCAGTCACAAATCACCAGTTAGGAAAACTGATGTTCAGATAAGCGCTCTTCTTGCCCTTCTTCCTTATTCATTGTCGACTCTAAGATAGCAGCTACAGTACGCATTCTATTTAGGTTTACAGTCACCTTTCCGCCACCAGAAAGACTCGCCACCAGCTTTGATTTCTTCTGCCATCTGCAGATTCATCTCTCTCTCACTTTCTCTTGTCTCCGATTTTTATGAGGAGGATACTGGCATTTACGAACGCGAAGGTCTGAATCTGACACCAAGTTGTGCACGATATTTGAGGTGCCTTCGTAATCTCCAAATAAGCCAATACGCGCTAGAATAAGCTTCATCTCGGACGAAACGCCTGTTTGGGATACATCGACGTCTCTCAAATGTTTTTTTTAAAGCTGCATACCCACGAATTTAGAGGTGTGAGCTGTTACCGTCCCTGGCCAGCGCGAGAAAAGTAACATTTGGTTGTACAGTTAGTTGCCAATGAACAAGACAACTGCACCATCTTGACTTACCAATTTGAGTGTTAGATTGAATTGAGGGCTTTTTAGACACTCGATTTCTTATATGGCATCATTATGAAGACGTAATACAACTGATACACCTACACTACATAGGATTAACAATGTCTGTTGCGCTGTTGTGAGAAGGAGGAAAATATTACCGGAAGTGAACGCTCTTTTTAAAAAGAGTTTCAGAGACGTTTCAGAGATGTCCATCTTTGATCGGCTGTCACAAAAAAATGACCCCCACTTAAATTTACTAGGAAAAATGAACTTACCAACTCCTTGTTGAAAAAATTGGAATTCATTTGACCGATACGCCGGTTGTTTCAATTTTTCTTTTTCCTCGGGCTGCTATGAAACAGTTCATAAGTGACTAATGAATAAAGTGTTTTGAAATACCGTTCGGGATTTGCCTTTTTTTCTGCGTGCAACTCAAGGATAGACAAAGTTTTTAAAACATTTGATTAGAATTTCATGGAGTTCACCTCGATTATTCTCGTCGGCCAGAGTCAAGACGCGCCAAGCTGAGCGACATCGCCCTCCAGTAAAAAATTTTCCAAAGAATAAACGTGGTGAGCGTGAGGAAACGCACACTTTTTTTCATCATTGTGATCAAAGCCCAATGATATACCTAAATTGGTACTTACGGTATCAAACCATTGATTATGATAGGGTGAGCTGAGTTTTTCTGTCGAGGTCGACGTGACTTCATATTAAAAGCATTTTTGACGGAACAAACTACACTGCACGAACCTGAGAAACTACCACTACATGAACTGAGAAAGTAAAAACTTGTGTTTATCTCCCACGCGTTTCGTTTGACAATAGTAGACTTCATCAAGGATTTTTTTCAAGTAGGGTAAATAAACTTGCTCATAAACAAATAGTAAATAAGTTGTGTCTTTATTATTGAAGTCAGTGGATAGAATACGCCAGGTGCGCCTACGGTGTTATACATGAGTGACATTTTCCGGACGTTACACGTACGAGTACGTGATCCGTTTAAGGGTCACAGATTGAGTGTAAATATTTCACTCCTCAACATCACCCAATGTCTCTAGTTTACAGAGGTCTTAGAACGTTTCATTATATGGAGTTGCCTTCTGCGGGTAGAAGGCTACCAGCGAATTTTTCAGGCGTAATTGCCTTTGATTTCTCAATTGATGTTGTCGCAAACACAGTTTTTGGGAGTCACGAGACAAAAGAACTTATCAGGACCTAGTTTCATGTTCTAATGGAAATAAATAGCTAATAAAAACACATTTTCTTGAGAAATAAAGTCACAAATGACGGGGGTTCTCTGAAACAAATAGTGATAGAAGAGGATTTCAGTTCTGGTCAATATTGACTTTTCATGGCCTACTTCCAAATCTGAGAGAACGTGCTGTGGGAATAAAAAAAACATAAATGTGTGATAATGCAAGCAAGAGAATGAAAATACAAATAAAGAAAAAGGAGAAAACATTGGAACCCGTGTTGCAGCGTGCAGATATCTTTTGAACCAGACGTACACACATAAGCCCGACACCAGCCAGAGAAACTCGAAAGAGTCCTGTATATGAACTAGCTCGCACGTGCACGTAGGAAAGGCCATGACAATCAGCGAAAATAATAGCAAATGCAGATGATATTTGCAGTCAAAAAACAGGAAAATAAGATAACAGAAGGATTAGGAACTTTCTAGAAGTGTCTTCTTGAAAAAAAAAAGATGAACAATTTTTACTTCTCGTGAAAGGTCACGCAGTAACCCTACAAATACTATTCCTATACGTGGAATTTCTTGATGGTGGAAAGTGGAAAAAACATTTTCCAGTCTTATTTTCTGGAAACGTGGCGTAGTTATTGAATTTATGGGGCTATTGATATTTCCTAGTAACAAATAAAGGGGGCAGAGTTTCCCGTCATTCGCGGTATGGAAAAGCCGAAGTTGTTACACTCGGGAACTTGTCCGTCAACAAGCAGGCGACATGTGACTTTAAAATCTCCTCTCCTGTTACAGTTTCCTTATTGTAAACTGTGCAATAATGATAATAAACGATCAATAGACGGTCCTGATTTTAGCAAATCATCAAAGTAACAAACGACTGAAGAGAGAAACGCTACGATTTTCCCATTGATTTTCCGTCAACATGCATCTCTGTAAACGTGAAATTTTCCATTCCTACAAAAAATATCGAAAGTTTTTCACAGTTTTCACCTTTCTTGACCAATCAACTTGTATAAAGAGCTAAAAAATGTAGGTTTATTTTGTCAAGTGACCGCCTAGAGCAAGAATTGCGTGACAGGTGTAGTTGAGAGAAACTTGTCACAGTCGCAGATTTTAAAAGGCATCCAAGACAAAAATACGGTAGTGCCCAAAGATTTTTTTGATGATTTTCAGAGATGAAATGATGGGTTATTAGGGTAATTAAGATTAGTGTTGTAGCTTTCTGGCAACGGGAGATATTTGACCTCAAAGTTGTCAAATATTTGGATGAATCGAAAAGTCTAAAACCAAAGTTGTATATTTGCCTCTGTTGATTGACAAGCCGTTAATCAAACTGACTAATACTCGCAGCAGACATTAACTAAGGATGTAAAAATATGTGTGCAAATCCTCAAAGTAATCGGTTAGACACCATCGCCGTGAGAGCTTCATACATTTTACCTATTTGAAGCGATTTCCTAGGTGAAAACCAAGAAAAACCGGGGGGTGGTCTATCCCCACCCGGAAAAAACCAAAACAGAAACCAGATTGTTTTTTTGAGTTTTGGGGTAGTCCCTTTAAACTGACAAAGTTTCTTTGAAATCGGTGAGATGGCATGTAGCGCGACTACCCGGTGCTCTCGTGGACGCGCTCTAAAGTCACTCTCTAGCTGTTTTAAAAAGAAGGATCAGGACTTACCTAACTTTTAATGTTTTTGTGGGAGTTGTTGATCCCAATTTAAGTGTTCTTAGAAGTTTCAGTTATCTGTAAAGCTAAATAAATCTAACTGAAACCTAATAGGGCCTGTTTATTCTTTTCCGTTTAGTTTTTTTGTATTGTTTTGTTTTGTCTTTCTTTTTTTCTTCTGGTCTGTAATGATTTCAATGGTTTCAGGTTCTTTTCTCAGAATTGAGCTACAGTAATAGTGTGCTTCTTTGTGTTGTTGCCTACAGGAGCCACTGCTTGTGTTGAATTGAAGAGATTTGAAGAAGCAATCACTTGGTGTGATAAGGGACTAGCTGTATCCTTTGAAGGAATCTTTCATTTTAACCGTGAGTATAATGGAAAAAGTTTCCATAATATGATGTTTCAAGGGAGGAAATACAAAGAAGGGTATTAATTATGATGGGAACTTGTCAGCTCATATACTTTAGGTGAGTGTGATTAAAAACATAGGAGAAGTTATTACCTCATGGCTAATGAAATTACTCCTTTTAGCCAATTTGACTTAGTTCTACTATCCATGCCAATAACTGGTACATTAGTTTAAATAACCTTTTAATTTCCCAGACCAAATTTGTAATTATCCTTACTGTCAACCATACAATTCTTGTGACGTTAGTACACAGAATTCAGTATTGCATCAACTAACTATTTTTAAATTTATATATATTTTTTTTACTCTCAACACTTATCTGATTGATATTTTATTGCTATTGTAAGGAAAAATTCTCTTTTGGTCACTCACGGGAGTTAAAGGGTTAGAAGACTAATATTCATCCAGTTTATTCATGGTACTTGGGTAGATGATCTCTCTAAAACAAGCCAGAACAAAAAGCTCTGCAATGTTTACATATCTTATGCAGATTTTCTTGCCTGCGACCTTTTTCTACAACTTAGAGACTCAGAAACTTTCGTTGTGCTTTCCTATGGACAAATAACAATTTTAAAGACATCCATTTGTGTTGTAGACTCATTTCTTCCACTGCTGTAAAACATTTGTCTCATATTAAAGCTATATTAATGAAAAAATTGAGCAAGTGCTGCTCAGTTTTTGGAAACTAGGGATTAAATCTAGATATTTCGCGTTACATTTTGAGGCTGCACACAGAAAAAACATTTTTTGAAGTGTAGACTTACTTCATTACTGACTTTAAGACTGAATGTTGATAAATCATCTACCTTTCATGCAAAGCCCTCCTAATGGGCCATTTTATAGTTGTGTACTTAGTTGCCATGCCTTTGATTTGGAGTGAGGCTGAAGGTGACCTTGTTGCGATAGAGACCAGTATCTAGAAACGATAATAACAAAGTAGTTTGCATTTAAAAGCGGCAATGTTTTTATCATAACAAGGTCACCCTCAATCATGGCTCTTGTTCAGAGGTTTGGGACCCAAGCACGCAAATGTTAAAATGGACTATTACGTACCAATGTGATCAGAAACATAATCTTTTTTGTTTTTTTCCACATTTTTAACCCTTAACATAAAAAAGATTGACAAAAACAATAGGATCTTGTTGTCATTTAGACTTCAGTCTGTCAGTGAGGTGGGAGATAAGTCCATGGAGGAAAAAGATCCTATTAGTCATGACCACGGTAGTGCAAGTTCAGGTGATGTCAAGAAAGTCATAGATCTCTATAATCCGGGAGAAGAAGCCATAGAGTACCTCAACCTATATCTTAAAAAATCTAAAGAAGTAGGAGACAAACATTGGGATGGTAACGCTTATGGCAATCTTGGTAATGCTTATGACCGTCTGGGTGATTTCAAAAAAGCCATAGAGTACCACAACCTACATCTTAAAATAGCTAAAGACGTAAGAGACAAGCATGGGGAGGGTAACGCTTATAGCAATCTTGGCAATGCCTATTTTAGTCTGGGTGATTTCAAAAAAGCCATAGAGTACCACAACCTACATCTTAAAATAGCTAAAGAAGTAGGACACAAGCATGGGGAGGGTGTTGCTTTTTGCAATCTTGGCAATGCTAATAGCCGTCTGGGAGATTTCAAAAAAGCCATGGAGTACCACAACCTACATCTTAAAATAGCTAAAGAAGTAGGAGACAAGCATGGGGAGGGTGTTGCTTATGGCAATCTTGGCAATGCTTATGACCGTCTGGGTGATTCCAAAAAAGCCATAGAGTACCACAACCTACATCTTAAAATAGCTAAAGAAGTAGGAGACAAGCATGGGGAGGGTAACGCTTATGGCAATCTTGGCAATGCTTATTTTAGTCTGGGTGATTTCAAAAAAGCCATAGAATACCAAAACCTACATCTTAAAATAGCTCAAGAAGTAGGAGACAAGCATGGGGAGGGTAACGCTTATGGCAATCTTGGCAATGCTTATGGCCGTCTGGGTGATTTCAAAAAAAGGCTAGAGTACCACAACCTACATCTTAAAATAGCTAAAGAAGTAGGAGACAAGTATGGGGAGGGTAACGCTTATGGCAATCTTGGCAATGCTTATCGCCGTCTGGGTGATTTCAAAAAAGCCATAGAGTACCACAACCTACATCTTAAAATGGCTAAAGAGGTAGGAGACAAGCACGGGCAGGGTGGTGCTTATGGCAATCTTGGCAATGCTTATTTTAGTCTGGGTGATTTCAAAAAAGCCATAGAGTACCACAACCTACATCTTAAAGTATGTAAAGAAGTAGGAAACAAGCATGGGGAGGGTAACGCCTATGGCAATCTTGGCAATGCTTATGGCCGTCTGGGTGATTTCAAAAAAGCCATAGAGTACCACAACCTGCATCTTAAAATAGCTAAAGAAGTAGGAGACAAGCATGGGGAGGGTGCTACTTATGGCAGTCTTGGCAATGCTTATTTTAGTCTGGGTGATTTCAAAAAAGCCATAGAGTACCACAACCTACATCTTAAAATAGCTAAAGAAGTAGGAGACAAGCATGGGGAGGGTGTTGCTTATGGCAATTTTGGCAATGCTTCTGACCGTCTGGGTGATTTCCAAAAAGCCATAGAGTACCACAACCTACATCTTAAAATAGCTAAAAAAGTAGGAGACAAGCATGGGGAGGGTGTTACTTATGGCAATCTTGGAAATGCTTATTTAAGTCTGGGTGATTTCAAAAAAGCCATAAAGTACCACAACCAACATCTTAAAATAGCTAAGGAGGTAGGAGACAAGCATGGGAAGGGTAACGCTTATGGCAGTCTTGGCAGTGCTTATCACCGTCTGGGTGATTTCAAAAAAGCCATAGAGTACCACAACCTACATCTTAAAATAGCTAAAGAAGTAGGAGACGAGCATGGGGAGGGTGTTGCTTATGGCAATCTTGGCAATGCTTATGGCCGTCTGGGTGATTTCAAAAAAGACATAGAGTACCAAAACCTAAATCTTAAAATCGCTAAAGAAGTAGGAGACAAGCATGGGGAGGGTGTTACTTATGGCAATGTAGGCAATGCTTATTTTAGTCTGGGTGATTTCAAAAAAGCCATAGAGTACCACAACCTAAATCTTATAATAGCTAATGAAGTAGGAGACAAGGATGGGGAGGGTAACGCTTATGGCACTCTTGGCAATGCTTATGACCGTCTGGGTGATTTCAAAAAAGCCATAGAGTATCACAACCTACATCTTAAAATAGCTAAAGAAGTAGGAGACAAGCATGGGGAGGGTAATGCTTATGGCAGTCTTGGCAATGCTTATTTTCGTCTGGGTGATTTCAAAAAAGCCATAGAGTACCACAACCTACATCTTAAAATAGCTCAAGAAGTAGGAGACAAGCATGGGGAGGGTGTTGCTTATGGCAATCTTGGCAATGCTTATTCTAGTCTGGGTGATTTCAAAAAAGCCATAGAGTACCACAACCTACATCTTAAAATAGCTAAAGAAGTAGGAGACAAGCATGGGGAGGGTAACGCTTATGGCAATCTTGGCAATGCTTATGGCCGTCTGGGTGAATTCAAAAAAGCCATAGAGTACCACAACCTACATCTTAAAATAGCTAAAGAAGTAGGAGACAAGCATGGGGAGGGTGTTGCTTATGGCAATCTTGGCAATGATTATGGCTGTCTGGGTGATATCAAAAAAGCCATAGAGTACCACAACCTACATCTTAAAATCGCTAAAGAAGTAGGAGACAAGCATGGGGAGGGTGCTGCTTATCGTAATCTTGGCAATGCTTATGGCCGTCTGGGTGATTTCAAAAAAGCCATAGAGTACCACAACCTACCTCTTATAATAGCTAAAGAAGTAGGAGACAAATCCATGGAGGCAATGGCCTACTGTTCATTAGGATGGGTTTTTGAGTTGCAAGGTGGACTGCCAAAAGCCGTTGAACATTACCAAGCTAGCATAAACGTATTAAATTCCTTGAGAGTACTTCTAATATCTAAAGATGAGTGGAAAGTTAGTTTTCGAAATCGGCATCAAGTGGCGTATACGGGTTTGTGGAGAGTTCTCGTAGAACAAGGTAATGTAGATGAAGCCCTATTTGTTGCTGAGAAAGGACGAGCTCAAGCTCTGACCGACCTCATGGAATCCAGTTTTGGTGGTGGAACAAGTCACCACAAGGGAAAAGATGAAGATTGCACAGTTTTAAAAAACGTTCCATCAAACACTGTCTTTCAGGCAGTGGACAAAGCTAACGTCAATCTTTGGGTTGTGTCCGAAGGAAAACAAGTTCACTTAAGACAAAGTAAACTCAAAGGTTTTGTTTCAGAGAATAGTAGATCTAGCCTGTCCTTTGAGTCGTCCATGCTCGGTGTCTATACACAACTTGGTGTTCGTTCTAATGTGAGATGCGAGAATCGATCTTTAGATGCTTTGAGGGAGGGCCGTTCGAAAGTGGATGAGAAAACCAAAGAAGCCAACCCTCAACCTCACATCCAACAAGACGGATGCTTGAGCACTTTGTATGATATCGTTATGAAGCCGGTGGCGGACTTGATTGAAGGGGATGAGCTACTCATTATTCCTGATGGACCCCTGTGGATCGCTCCATACGCTGCATTGAAGGATGGTAATTCTAAATACCTGTGTGAATCGTTCACAATCCGAGTCGCTCCATCGTTAGCAAGTCTTAGACTCATTGCCGATTGCCCAGATGATTATCACAAAAGCAATGGTGCGTTACTTGTAGGAGATCCGTGGGTATCCGAGGTTACTAACAGCAAGGGAAAGAAAGTCTTCGAGCAGCTTCAGTACGCTAAAAAAGAAGTAGAAATGATCGGAAAAATTCTGAATATCACACCAATCACTGGCAGTCAGGCCACGAAATGTGAGGTGTTGAAAAGACTCAGTTCCGTTTCCCTAGTTCACTTTGCGGCACACGGATGTATGGAAACTGGCGAAATTGCACTAACACCTGACCCACACCGAATATCTACTGTGCCAACGGAGGAGGATTACATTTTAACAATTGGAGATGTGTTGAATGCTCAACTTCGGGCCAAACTTGTTGTGCTTAGTTGCTGCCACAGCGGCCGGGGCGAGATCAAGGCTGAAGGTGTGGTTGGCATTGCGCGCGCTTTTATAGGGGCTGGTGCTCGGTCTATTGTGGTTTCCCTGTGGGCGATTGATGACGAGGCTACTCTCGAGTTCATGAAATACTTTTATCAACAACTTGCAGGAGGTAAACCAGCAAGTGAGTCACTGAACCTGGCCATGAAAAGCCTCAGAGAATCAGACAAGTTCTGCGACATCAAATACTGGGCGCCCTTTTTGCTGATTGGAGATGACGTCACTCTTGACTTCATGGCAAAGGAAAGAGAAAATTTGAATATGAAATCACATAAATGAAAACGTTTTATTTCATCTCAAAATGAATGACGCGGGAACTTGGAAGGTTTAAATGCTTCTCTATTTTGGCGCTTTTTGGCTATTTTTCATTACTTTTCACTTTTTTGTTAAATGGAAATTGAGATGTGCGACTTTACTTTGGTGAAGAAATAGAACGGACTATTTCAGTATATTTTGTTCAGTGGAATTGCTATTTTTTTTACCTTTACAAATTTAGATGCTTGCGAAGAGAACAAGATGCAACAAGGCTTCTGTTGTTAATGCCTGAAGCTGTTGAAGGCGACTACGAGGTTTTCGTTTCGCCAAAATGACACTCAGATCTATTCAGTTATGTGTAAAATAATTTAAAGGTTTTTTTCTTGTACACAACCAGGAGCTTGTCCACCGGGATTTAATTACGCTGATACTCTAAGCTTTTGATAAGCAAAGAAACAGTTTGTCATTTGCAAAAGGTGGCGAAATTTTAATTTCAAAAATGTGATTTGCAAAATTCGCAGCCATATGTGAATTGATCTTAATG